AAATAGGGTGTTAATTGAAGGACTTGGTATTCTTTGTGATTTACTGTTATCAGGGAGCGGATCACAATACATTTTTACACACACACACACACAGAGAGAGAGAGAGAGAGGGGGGAGAGAGAGGGAGAGAGAGAGAGAGAGAGATTGCAAGCACATGGGATTTGCCTGCATTTTTGACAGTCTCATTTAAAGGCTACAGGGGCTTGATCTGGATAAATTGGGAGGAAGTAGAAGGGTGGAACCTGCACTTTTCATTAATAGTCCCCTAAATTTTCTCCCATACTTTAAACACTGTTCTCTACCATATAAACCATTAGGCTCCCCTCCACCTTCCACGGCTGCCAATCTTTTTCAACCCCTTCACATATTTTCTCTATTATTCTTAATCCATTTTTAGCTTAGTTTTTAGTACATTACAAGCATTACTCAAATCCTGCCAAAGTTTTTGTTTCATTACTTACTTATCAATGATTGATGAATGTGAAAATGATATTTTTTGAGTCAATGAAATCTTGAGACTGAATATCAAAGCAGGTGGCCAGTCTCTATTAACCTTATTATGTTATCTGTTGAAACTCTTTCCAAATACCATGCCTTTTCAAGAAGTAAGGAAGGGTTATAGTCAATGAAGGAGATTAGACTTGTGGAATGGGGGTACAATATACTTTTAAAAGCAAACGAATGAAAGAATTCCCCCTCCTCTCCCTTTGTTCCCAAGCCATTAGCATAACAGAAAAAGTCAGTAGGCCAAACAACATTATCTTTAATAAGCTATTTGAGATGTATTTTAGTAGAATCTTGATCCTCTTCAAACAATGGTAACTTGAAATAATATACTTGCGGAGGTCTATTTACACAAGATCCCCCCCCCAAACCATCTTGAATAGAGTTGTTTGCTCTGTGTAGTAATAGATAAATATGCTTTGGAAACAAATTACTTAAGCAGAACACATTTGTGTCCCTAAGGCTTACATCCCACGAACAAAGGACACTGTTTATTCATTCTTTTAGAATGGGAAGTCAATTCATTCCATCTAAATAAACAGCATTACGCTCAATTCTCAGTTGACCCACATAATCCTCCAAAAAGCCCTTGGGTGAATATTCCAATTTAAGGTGGGAAATAGAGCTGCTAGAATTGCTCCATTGGTGGATATCTCAAGAGTACACTGGAAGAGCACATGCATGCAAGCAATTATGGCAATCAATCATTTATGCAGCACTTAAAATCTTTACTTCATTCACCCTCACAACTGTTTTGGGAGGTAGGCCATCACTTTTTTCAGATTCTAGAACTGGAGAACTGGAACTGTGAGAGATAGTGACTTGTCCAAGAGCATCTAGTTAACTGGTGGGGAAAATGGGATTTTAAGTATGTATGTACTCTATCCATGTTGTTTAAAGATGGAAGTTTTATACTCCATTATAGTTAGACACTATAATGAAGTGGGACCTCAGAAAACGAGCGGAATCCGTTCTGGAAGTCCATTTGACGTCCAAAATGTTCAGAAACCAAGGCGCAGCTTCCGATTGGCTGCAGGAAGCTCCTGCAGCCAATCAGAAGCCACAGAAGCCATGTCTGACATTTGGGTTCCAAAGAACGTTCGCAAACTGGAACACTCACTTCCAGGTTTGCAGCGTTTAGGAGCCGAAATGTTCAAGTTGCAAGGCATTCGTCAACCAAGGTACGACTGTAATGATATTTGTGTGGAAAGTGAGCCATGGAAAGATGGATATGCCTCCTTGCTCACAATGGAAAGTCAGAAATATAGATGGATTAAGTCGTACTGCACATGCACCAATACATATCAATTGTGTGAATCCAGAAGGAACTCAACCAAGCTAGATAGCTAGATTATGAAGAACAAACCTGGAACTTGCATCCCACAAAATTACAACTCTTTGGGACTACTTCTCTAGCAACCACTGGAAATCAAGCAAAATACCGTAGTTTTCATTCAGAAAGATACAAAATGTTCTTGTCCTTCACTCAGAAGCAGATACATCAAAGCAGGAACGGAGCAAATAATAAAAATCAACAGCAATAAATCATCCATTCCCCACAAAACCTTTTAAAAACAAGCAAGCACAAATCTTGCTTTCTCAAGGCAGATAGAAGGGTCTCTAAGCTGTGTTGCATTACAGTAACCAGTGCTGTCAGGGTTGATCTACGCATTGAGAAAAATCACATACAGTGATATTGAAGCATCAGACTAAAAGTGGGCTATAGTGCATTGAAATGCTTGTCTAATAATAATAATAATAATAATAATAGGAGTTTGGATTTGATATCCCACTTTATCACTACCCGAAGGAGTAGTGGCTAACATTCTCCTTTCCCTTCCTTCCCCACAAGAAACACTCTGTGAGATGAGTGAGGCTGAGAGACTTCAGAGAAGTGTGACTAGCCCAAGGTCACCCAGCAGCTGCATGTGGAGGAGCGTAGACGTGAACCTGGTCCCCCAGATTACGAGTCTACCGCTCTTAACCACTACACCACACTGGCTCTTATTAATAATAATTGTACCTATAAATTTAGCACATCAGGGAGAAGGATTGTTTTGTTTTTACCTTTTGTCCAGGAAATGGGATCCTCCTAAATTGTGGGTCCTGGTTGCGCTCGGGACCCTTAAGCCACCCCCACAGGGTGTGTTGTTGCTAGGCGTGGCCCAAGCCTTCTATGTTGGGCCCCGGGATCATGCTTGGCTGCTTGGGCCAATTGGGGCGAGTGGCGTGATCCCGGGGGCCTATAAATGCGGCAGTGTGACGGGGGTGGGGCACTTGCTTTGCACTGCCGAACACCCTCCCTCCCTCCCTATTTTTGGTGCTGCTGCTTTGGCCTTGCTTTGGATTGGGTCGCCTGCTTTGGAGCAGGGGCTGGGTAGGAATTTTTCCATTTGGCAGATTGGCTTTAGCCACTTGGTTTTCACCTACCTGTAGCTTTTTTGGAGTTCACCGATTGGGTCTGCGTTGCTCCGGGACAGGAGGAAGGAAGTCAAATGACACCGAGGTTGATTCAAAGAAAGAGTTTATTCTGCTCTCTGGATAGCAGAAGGCACTTGTGTGATCAAGTCCACAGCAAGTCCAAAGAAATGACAAGTTTCATTCAGTATATATATCCTCCAGGCACCCTCTCCCTCCTTCCCGAGGAGTCCAACCATGTCAGCCTATGTACGCAGGTTGACATCACATATGTTCTTTCTCTGGTATTCTTAACCATAAAAGGGAATTCCTTCCTGTACTTCTGACCATAAAAGGATCTTCCTCTTCCTACTCTTATCTTGGAGGAAGAGGTCATCATCTCCGGGAACACGCTTCTGGCATTGTTCCCGGACTTCGGTCTGCGCGTCTTTTGTGGTCAGAACATAAGATAAGGCACTGACGTGTCTTCTCTGTTCCCCTAGAACAGCCAGGGTCATCCCTTGCCGTGACTGATAAAGGAGAGAGTTTGTTTATACAGCTGTGTCCTTGTTATGCATTTGCTCAACAGCTCAAGTTTTATGCATTTTAGAGTGCTTTCTTGGAGAAAGAAGAAAGGGGGGTGGTTTAAGTTCAGTTTTAAACTGACTGCACAGAAACCCATTCCTTCATACCCCCTTAGCAATCGTCACAACTTTGTAAGGTTTGGCAGTTAGGCATTGGTTTATAGAAATGTGCGGGAGGGGAGGTGTGGCCATCACCTGCCCCTCCAAAAATAGGGTATTCCGGTAAAGGAATATGGGGAATATGAGATTCAACCTCACTTTCCTGGTTTGGATGAAATTTGGTTTAAAGAAACTACAATACAATTCTGAAAGCTGAGCATGCAAGGGAAGAGATGGCTGAGAAGGGAGCACAGGTGCCAACTCTGGAGGCAGCTCTGGGCACCCACAGTCTGGGGCCCAAGTCAGCACCACTGGAAGGGAGCATACAGGTCCATGGTTCTTTTGGCCTGAGAGGCCATGGCTTCTAGTCTCGACATTATATCTGAACTGGGACACCTTTTGTCAAGTCCAAACAATAAACTTCTTGGCTGTGTAGAGATCCCCAAAATGCAAACCAACCCTATAGCCATTCCAGACACTTTTCTAGGAAAATTGGCACCTGTTTTGTAACTGCTAAATTCTCTTTACCATTCACCCCATTATTTCCATTCAATCCATTTTTCACCAGGCAGATAGTACATTATTTTTCATAGATACTTGGCTCTTTTTAATAAGAAGGCTTGTGGAAGAAGATGGACATTACTAGGAAATTTTTACAAAATGTCTGCCTCACATTTCACCTTTTTCTTATTAACAATGTCAAGTAACATATGACATCCATATGACAGCAAATCTTTGCTCTTTTTTATGGCCTTCAGTGCAAACAACGCCCTGTCAGTTTCAATAGATGAAATTATTAATGGAGACTGCCCTTGACAACTATCCAACCTCTTAGATAATGGAGATCGTATTTCCTCACATTGTCCTGTTGTATTAGAAAACTTGTTCTACAGGACGGCTGAAGCAAATGTCATTTGGTGATTTCCAGAAAATGTCATTGCCTAAGAAAACTATGATCCTCAATTGGGGTCAATAACGTGCCCTCTAACCCACATGTGATCTTCCTCACCCCACCTCACTTTCTTACAAGGAATAAGAAACAAGTAAGATGGCTAGTTACACATTTTATAAAATGAGGATATGCATCACCACAAAAAGGACACAAAATGGTCACAGATCTGCATAGAACATTGCTTATGCTAATTTATATGAATAAATTCACATATACTATAATGTAATTACTATTATTATAGTAGTTCCCTCATTGCGAGTTCCCTCATTGCGAGAAGTGAGGTTACAGGGAACCAGACAGAGGGCCTCCTCGGTAGTGGCGCCCGCCCTGTGGAACGCCCTCCCTTCAGATGTGAAGGAAATAAGCAGCTATCCTATCTTTAAAAGACATCTGAAGGCAGCTCTGTTCAGGGAAGTTTTTAATATTTAATGCTGTACTGTTTTTAGTGCTTGATTGGGAGCTGCCCAGAGTGGCTGGGGAAGCTCAGCCAGATGGGTGGGGTATAAATAACAAATTATTATTATTATTATTATTATTATTATTATTACCCCGCCTATCTGGTTGGGCTTCCCCAGCCACTCTAGGCGGCTCCCAATAGAATATTAAAAACATGATAAAACATCAGACATTAAAAATTTCCCTAAACAGGGCTGCCTTCAGATGTCTTCTCTAAAAGTCAGATAGTTGTTTATTTCCTTGACATCTGATAGGAGGGCGTTCCACAGGGTGGGTGCCACTACCAAGAAGGCCCTGTGCCTGGTTCCCTGTAACCTCACTTCTCACAGTGAGGGAACTGCCAGAAGGCCCTCAGCGTCTGGGCAGAACGATGTGGGTGGAGACGCTCCTTCAGGTGTACTGGGTCTATACAGTTTCCAATAAATGGGAATACAGTTCCCAATCTCACCACAACAGAAAACCTGACTGTGCAAAACTAACCTATTTACTTATTTATTGAAACCTTTATATCTTTCCTTCGTCCAAGGATCACAGGGTGGTTTTCAATAAAAAAGAAGGAAAAAAAGTAACAGATTAGCAAAAAATAACAATGTCCCACACCCTTCACACACACACACAGAGAGAGAGAGAGAGAGAGAGAGAGAGAGAGAGAGAGAGAGAGAGAGAGAGAGTTTCAAAGGACATAGATTGTTTTATTTGTCAAAGGTCTGGTAAAAGATGAATTTTGTTTTGTTTTGTTGTTTTGTTTTGTTTTTAAATATATTTTTATTGGTTTTACATATATTTTCCAAATAAAACATAACACAACATCTCTCATCTTATACCACATTTTGGCTATAAGCCTAGGACTTCCACCAACCCCGTCTAGTGAAGAAGGGTCTCAGATGATGATCACAGGGTCATCATCGGTCAGTTCATATGGGGAGAAGCAGTCCTTGAGGTCTTGAGGTCCTGAGGCTTTATAGGTCAAAACCAACACTTTGAACTGAGCTCAGAAACTAACTGATAGCCAGTGCAGTGGGGCCAGGATTGACATTCTTTGCTCAGACCTTCTTGCCCCAGTGAACAACTTGGCTGCTGAATCCTGCACCAACTGAAGTTTCCAAACCGTCTCCAGAGGCAGCCCCATGTATAATGTTTTGCAGTAATCTAATCATCTAATCTAATCTAAATGTTACCGGAACATAGACAGCAAAAGTTAGGTTATCCCTATCCAGATAGGGGAGCAGCTGGGCCAGCAGCTGAAGCTGATAGAAGGCAGTGGAACCAGAAGTAACCAGAAGAACAATCAGTGCGGAAAGATCAACCTCTTTTTTTGCCAAGTTGTTGTTGTCGTTGTCGTTGTTAATTTAGCATTACCTGACATTTTCAGAAGGGAAAATAAAAAATAAATAAATACCAGATTATTTATTTATTTGTACTTTGCAAGTTTATACATCTCACTAGTTTTACATTTCACTAATTTTGCAATCATTTTGACATTTCAAAACTTGACTTCGAAACCCCTCTTTCTGCAGTTCCTTAAATGTTTTTTATCTGTTTATAATTTATCTGTAAATATTCAATAGACCATTTCCACTCTTTTGTAAAAAGTTTGTTAGCTTGATTTCTTATTCTTTCAGTAAGTTTCGTCATTTCTGCATATTCAGTTTTTTGTATCTATTCCTCCTTTACTGGGACTTCTGCTTCCTTCCATTTTTTGGCAAGGAACATTCTTGCTGCCGGAAAGATCAACCTTTAGATTTGCTGGATTCTGTCTCACCTTTCCTTATGGGTGGACCAGCCCTGGTGCGTGGAGGAGGAATAAATACTCCATTTTGAAAATCAACATTTATTATTATTATTATTATTATTAATTCTCCGCCCATCTGGCTGGGTTTCCAGCCAGGATTCTGACATCACTTTATGATGGGAAATTGGACTGGATCCTACTGAAACATGCTAAGCATACCCTTTTTGACTAAAGGGTATAAAGCAAACATACTGTTCCATGCTAATATTGAAATATCTATGGGGCTTGAACCCTAAACACACACACACACTAAATTAAGTCAAAGGAAATTGAAGCCATAGAAAATGAATCAACATTCCTATAGCAGTTGTCAACACTCTAGAGAAACCGCAGCTGTACTTTTGAATCCCACCAACAGTTAACATCGAACGGCTGTGAATAGTTCTTTGTGACTTCCTCTCTGACTCAAAGCTGAGCTACTGGATAAATTCCAAAAGGGAATCCTCCAGCAATACTCTGCAAGTGCACTTTAAGAGGGACTCAGACATCTCTAGACCATAGCTCTCAACGTTTCCCTTATTTAAAGGGAAATTTCCTTATTCCGAATAGGATACCTCACAAGAAAAGGGAAAAGTTGACAGCTATGATCTAGACCCAAGATCCTGCAAAAATAAAAATGTTTGCCTCCTCTGCTTGTTCATGGCAGTACAACTTGCCAATCATTTTGTATACATGTATACAAATGTGTATACAAAGGGACGTGGGTGGCGCTGTGGGTTAAACCACAGAACCTAGGACTTGCCGATCAGAAGGTCGGCGGTTTGAATCCCTGTGACAGGGTGAGTTCCTGTTGCTCGGTCTCTGCTCCTGCCAACCTAGCAGTTCGAAAGCACATCAAAGTGCAAGTAGATAAATAGGTACCGCTCCAGCAGGAAGGTAAACGGTGTTTCCGTGCGCTGCTCTGGTTCGCCAGAAGCAGCTTAGCCATACTGGCCACATGACCCAGAAGCTGTACGCTGGCTCCCTTGGCCAATAAAGTGAGATGAGCACCGCAACACCAGAATCGGTCACAACTGGACCTAATGGTCAGGGGTCCCTTTACCTTTATACAAATGTGCATGTATTTGGGTAAAAAACCACATAGTGTTTATACCTGGGCATTTTCAAATGATCTCTCCTCTCTTTTTTTCTGGCATATCTTCAGGTACAGGTTTACGAAATGTGATAGTTGCAATTTTCATATATTTATATTATGTCAGACAGAGGAAAGCTTGATCACACACACACAAACACAAACAAACAAACACACCATGCATTTGCTGATTCTCCTGTGCATTAAGCTTTTCTTTGTAGTGTATAGTTTTACTCTTAAGTGAAAAGTAAAAGTTAAAAGAACAGGTGTCTTAGAAAATAACTTCCTTATCAACTTTCATTTGCAGATATAAAGTCTGACATTAATTCAGGGTGGTTTTTAGACTGACACACCAGCTGCTCTTTCCTAAAGTTCAGCTGTGTGTTAAACCACGGTGAAGCTAAGCATATTTCTTATTTCCCATCCTCTGAGTACAATGACTGGTTAGAAGTGACAGGACTAAGCATAAGGATTCCCAGACCTCAAAACCCAACCCAGCTGACGATGGCAGAACAATAGTAACATAAAAAGATGGTGGATTAGAATGCTGGTACAAACATTTGATCCTGGTATGTTTTGTGTGACGAAAAAGTGTCGTTATTGGGCTTTGGAGCCAAAACAGAAAATAACAATAACAACAATTTTATTATTTATACCCCGCCCATCTGGCTGGGTTGCCCCAGACACTCTGGGTGGCTTTCAACACATATAAAGACATGTGTCAAACATTAAAAACTTCCCCATACAGGGCTGCCTTCAGATATCTCCAAAAGTTGTGTAGTTCTTTATCTCCTTTACATCTGATGGGAGGGCATTTCACAGGGAGGGAACCACTGCTGGGAAGGTCCCTTGCCTTGTTCTTTGTAACCTCATTTCTTGCAGTGAGGGAGCTGCCGGAAGGCACTCAGAACTGGATCTCAGTGTCTGGGTTGAACAATGGGGGTAGAGACACTCCTTCAGGTATACAGGGCCGAGGCTATTTGGGGCTCTAAAGGTCAGCACCAACACTTTGAATTGTGCTTGGAAACATACTGGGAGCCAGTGTGGATCCTTTAAGACCGGTATTGCATGGTCCCGGTGGCCGTTCCCAATCACCAGTCTAGCTGCTGCATTCTGGATTAGTTGTAGTTTCTGAATCACCTTCAAACGTAGCCCCATGTAGAGTGCATTGCAGTAATCCAAGTGGGAGATAACCAGAGCATGCACCACTCTTGTGAGACAGTCTGCAGGCAGGTAGGGTCTCAGCCAGCGTACCAAATGGAGCTGGTAGACAGCTGCCCTGGACACTCAATTGGCCTGTGCCTCCATGGACAGCTGTGAGTCCAAAATGACTCCTAGGCTGCACACCCCATCCTTCAGGGGCACAGTTACCCAGGAGGGGAAAAGAATGCTCCTACCCTCCTAACACCATGATGTCTCTTGTAGTACAATTTAGATGTATTTATAGCTTTGCCAGGTCTCCCACTCCAGATCATTGGGTTGTCGGTCCAAGATTCATCCAGTACAGCTCTAGGCTGGGTTTTCCAAAGTTCCAGAATTTATTTATTCATTTATTTCCACCTACACATTGTCAGGGTTACAATGGAGCAGCACTGTACTGTATTGCCGTAGAGAAAATGTCCCGCCCAGACCTAAAACTAGATGATGATCTCATTTGTTCCTCTGCAGAATTAGCACATTTTGAACCAAGTGACCAATTATAGATTTAGAAAGGTCCTTTTGGGATCAGAACTGCTCTGAGCTGTTTCCCCCACAAGGTCTATGAATCATTTATATTAATGTGGGCAGAAGGAGCTAAGGACAGAAAGCACACTGAACCGAGGCATAGAGGCTTCAGAATGATTTCACTGAGAAGTGGGTCAAAATGTACCTTTGAAACAACATGTTGTTTGTGTCAAATCCACCTGAAAAGGTTTTTGATGATAAAGGGAAATATGAAATTGAATGTTTAACTGATTATAATGATTTGGCCCTATTTTGCTGGCTGTTAATAGTTCCCTGAAAAATACATGGGAACGTGAATAAAGCTTTTGAAGTCCATGAATAATATTTGCAAGTTTGAACCCTATGACAAACCTCTTTCCTTGATTTGTTTCCTGCGAAGATATTTTATTGGTCTTCTGGGCATTTTATTCATCGGATCAGCATGGAATTTTTGCAAGAAAGCTCACACAAATCAGGAAGCCTTACACCATGTAGAGTCTGAATTAGCTAAACACGACGCATACAAAATTGCCCATAAATTTGATTGAGCCGAACTTATGAA